CCAAGCTACCAAAATCAGAGTATTCACAATTACTCGTAACCTTCCCGGATAGAACTGAAACCGTTGTATAGGGCCTCTATCCATTCTTACTATTTCCAAAAAGGTAGAACTGAAGCTGGATCTAGGTCCTCTACTTTATCCTACCAAATCATTATTACAAATCGAAACTTCGATCAACATTCCATACATAATCAGGACTTGGACAGGACTGATTCACGCTGAACGTCCTAATTGAGATTCGATCGGATACTGAGGGAATTCCAAATATACTTGTTAAACAAAATCTGAGTAAGTACAGACTTATGCCTAAACGAAGTGATAGAAAAGTTCAGTTATGTAAAATATTCAGACAATTAGATAAACCATATACTCAAAAACAAACAAAACCAACGAGCCAGAAGGATCTTGACACGACAAAATATCAAGTTATCAGTTACGTAAAATATTCAGACAATTAAATAAACCATATACTCAAAAACAATCAAAACCAACGAGTCAAAAGGATCTTGACACGACAAAATATCAAGTTAACGAAGTAGACAATTCTATTCAATACATACCGTGGAAATTGATTCCCATAGAATTTTCAAGTTTACCAAAGGATTTACCTACTGAAGAATCACTTAAAAATATAATTTTCCCTGATCCGCGAAGACACATCTTAAGAAATTATCACAACTCCAAATCATAAAATTCGATAGGCCTTGTATTAACACGTGGACGTGCTATTAAAGTAGACCGAACCAACGAATCATCCTTTATATTACAAACCTCATTTACGATTGCTCGATTTTCCGGATTTAGCAATCGTAACATTAAAAATTGGTGGCAGCGGTGGGATGGTTTGGTGAGTTCGAAGTGTTATGACGAGACCTGTCACTAGAGCCTATTCGCGATATTTAGAAGGGGTTCAAAGTTTAACAGAACCAGAATTATTAATGTCGCAAGATCAACAAATCCCAATAGTACCATCTATATCAGATGTACCAACGCCTCAGATACAACCATCAACAACCTCTATCTATTTACCACATTCTTCATTGAAAGATGCATTAGAAGGGGTACCAACTTTCGCTGGCTCAAATATGTCTGTTCATACTTTTATCCGAGCTTGTAAAAATGCAAAAGAATTGGTATCACCAGCCGTAATTTCACCATTAGTTAGATTACTCAAAAATAAACTCAGAGGCGAAGCTAGGAAAATGAGCGTCTATGAGGAAATAAACAATTTCGAAGGTTTTATTAACGAGCTAGATTTAATATACTCAGATACCCTCTCAGTTAGAGAATGTGAAGGAGAATTAGCTAAAACGAAGCTAGGAAAATGATCGTCTATGAGGAAATAAATAATTTCAAAGGTTTTATTAACGAGCTAGATTTAATGTACTCAGATACCCTCTCTGTTAGAGAATGTGAATGAGAATTAGCTAAAATATTCCAAGAAGATAACGAAACAATCACATCATTTATCAGTCGTTATCGAGAAACGGTAGATTAGTTAAAAGAAGCGCATCGGAAAAAACTAATTTCTAAAGGAATTATAGTAGATGAAGCAAGACTTAAAAGAAAGATAGATGAACAAACAGCAGAAGGATTTATTCAAAACGTAAATCCAGAAATACTTGTCAGAATACCATCCAACACCCCTCTTGATACGTTATCAAAAGCAATTCTAGCCGTTAGACAAGCTGATAAAAAAACGCAACATTACATGCAACTCAAGAAAGGTATACAAACCCCATCTAACACCAACAAACAAAATAAATCAAAGGAATATAAAGTTACACCTATTCGCACTAGCATTGAGTGTACCTTTTGTAAAAAATTAGGACATAAAGCAGAAGATTCTTATAAACGAAAACGTTCAGTAGGCTTTCAAAATAACCAAAATACAAAAACCGAATCCACTACACCATTAAATTTGAACAATGAACAAGTAGTTTGTCAATATTGCAAGAATGTTGGACATACAATACAAGAATGCCGGAAAAGAGCTTACAATAATTCTCTTAAAGAAAGGACAGTGCCTAGCACATCCGGAAATATTTCGGGAAACGAGCAGTCTTCAGCCGAGGGGCGACGGTCGGAAGACCAAAACAATACGCCCAATAGCTATTCTCGAGGAGTCGCAACAATTCGATCCGGTGACTTCTCTCGAACTCCAACAATAAGATTATTTTCCCCTGAAATAATTGGTTCGTCTACGATAATGATAGATACGAGAGCAGAATTAAATATCATGAAGAGGAAATGCGTTAAACCAGGAACACCAATACTAGACGGCAGACCATATTATCTTAACGGCATTACATCAAATTATGTAGAAACTCAAGGAGAAATCATAGTTCATCTAGAAGAATTCAACACAAGTTTCCACATTGTAGGAGACGATTTTCCAATAGTACAAGATGGAATCATCGGAGAGCCATTCTTTACTAAAAATGAAGCAACAATCAATTTCAAAAAACAACGACTCGAATTCGAAGGACGAGAAATCCTTTTCGAACCTCCGACTTCAGTAGTACTACCAGCTAGAACTAAAATCCAGATCCCTATCAGAATAATAAATCCTGAAATTATACTGGATATGTGCCTCGGTTAGATGGTGGTCCAGACGTTTATCTCGGGAATGCTCTGATAACAAATCATAGAGGTATCGGTTACATTTATGCCATTAACACCTCTGAAGAAGAAATAGAAATCGAAACCCCACAAATTAGGTTATGGGACTTTGAAGAAATTACCAATTCTTACTATTACACTGAATCTATTGAATCTACTATATCCACTGAATCCTCTGAATCTGTTAAATCCCAAGAAGTCCCTAATCAAAAGAGTTTTGAAAATCAATTCAAACATCAAAGTCACAATCATTCAAAAAAATCTAAAGCAGTCAATAAACTCACAGTTGACAACGAAGAACGAAGTTCAAAATTGTTCGAACTTCTCCGCTTAGATCATTTGAACAAAGAAGAAAAAGAGTCGATACAACAAATTGTTAAAGAACATAACGATTATTTCTATATCCCAGGAGAATTCTTAGGAGCGACTACTAAATCCCGTCATCCTATCCGTACGGTATTATAACTTTGCATTCCTCCGGAGCAGTTTGTACAATGGCATTGACATCGCTCTTTGTTCTCGTCAAAATCAACTCGAGCTTAGCGTTTACGACGATCTTGCGATAATCTTCGGCAAAGCCTAGTGTCATACTCAGTGGTATGGATACGTCAAAGTAACCAGCTGCATTGGTCAATTTCTCTCCTTGCATCCAACCAGCATTATCTATCACCGAGCGTTGATCAGGAGTCAGGGAAAGGTAGCCCTTCATGAGACTCGTGAGACCAACGTTCTTATTTCCATCGATCTCTATACCATTTATTTCATAACGAATCTCGTCGAAAAGATGACAAATGCCGTTATTAACCAAGGTTGTGTTTGTAACCGCCGTAGAACCATCTTCCTTCACGAGCTTTCCGTATACATGCAGCGAACTTCTACTCGGTAGTAAACATAAGTCTTGATGTTGGACGGAGATTCGTATTTCATCACTGTTATTGAACGTTGACGATGCGTAAGGCTGGTGTGCATGCGTTTCGCAGTGCGCTATAGACTCATCGAAGGTGATTGGTGTTCGAATATTTAAAGTTTCTTCCTCCATGGTGAGCAGCGGATAAAAATAATGCAGCAGCAGCAGAATGAACGATTTAGTTTCCTCTTCCGACTGGTGTGACCTTGAGCCCCAGATTTCTCAGGAATAACTCGTTTTGAAGTGTTAACGCTTTGCAGCGCGGATGATGACTGATTTCTTTTAGACATATCGGTTCATTATTATAGTCGCTATTATAACTACTACCAATCATTCGGTTATACACGATCCCATTATCACATGGATTTCACGTGTAGTCTTATCGTTATGATTTCTCCTTGAAAATTCACCAAGTCTCCGCCCTGATCGACTATTCGAAGCTGTAGGTGATCTATTGTCTCGCTCGATACTGGGAGGTAAATGACGTGCCACGGCACCTCTATAATCTTATATCCTGGTGTTACAACCGGAAAGAATTCGTGGATGGTATGTACCTTACGTTCGTTTATGTAAGCGCCTGTAGTAATGTTGCATTCGACTCGCAGGGCGTTCACCTTGAGAATGGCTACAGGTACGTCGGATGTATATAATTTATTAGCTTCCAAAACGCGTTGAGTAAAACCCAACAAGCGACCAATCGAATCATCAGGTTGAAAATTGATTTCACGGTTACACTTAATTTTGCTGCACAGGGTATTATTGTTAGGCTTAATACTAATTAGGATATTTTTATCTATCAACGCACTCTGCACATAGTTCTCGATATCCTCTATCTCGTAGCTACCAATGTGTATAACGATAACTTCATCACCCACGTAAAATTTGTTGTGACCAGTGTCCACGTTAGGAATCGAATTAAAGGTTAATAATTCGATGAGCCCCAGAGCATGATTTTTATCTCGAGAAAGTTCGATTGGGAGAAAGTACTGGGCTTCGAGTATAGAAGAATTGCCTGATAAAGTTAACGTGAATGAATCTTCCATGATTGCAAATGCTTGATTAACAATATTACATTATGCAGCATATTTATATAAACGATACTTATTCTTACGATTTAATTGTCCACATAAGAATTTGAGATACAAGTGGCCACATTCGAAAGTATTATAGTTCTGATACCGTTCATAATTATATTTTATACTACCAACGTCAAGATACCTAATGAGATCTAGTGGTGGACGAAGATTACCGAAACTGTCAAAATAAAATACTGAGTCTTTTTTCTTCATGTAGGTGACCCAGTGTGTTCCGGGACCATCCTCATCGTCGAGATTGATGATTGCCGATTCGTATTTGTACGATCCACCTTTTGGCATAGCGTTCCGCATAAAAATTCCACGAAAATGTGAAATATTCATGAGCCTAGCGTACTTGAGCAGATCTGCATCAGTTAACGCTCGACGTGGTAGTTTCACTTCAAGTTTTTTGGCTTTAGATGAATGCCCAGTCCCTTCTTGTAGGGTTTCAAGTACAGTCCTTTGCCTAGCGCGATAGATTCGATCGCATTATTATGTCGTTGGCTTTCCTTCAATTGTTCCTTGATTTCCTTGGCATCGTTCACGGCTTTGGCTATACCTGCTGCACCTCCTGCTAACGCTCAGGCAGCGCTCAGACCCGCAAACATAGGGACGAGAAACGGCAGGAAACCTCCAACTTTGAATGGTACGGGTAGAACACGTGGTGCACGTATATTCTTCTTTCCACCAGCCTGCTTGACAACTGTTTGCGCACCCTTAAGAGCAGACTGAATTACTGCCTGTGCATCGTTGCTTTGTGTCATCGATCGTTTGGCTGCTTCGATAACTTTTCTCAGCGTTATCTTCTTCTTAGGGTTCTTCTTCTTTTTCGTGATACCCATACCGAATTTTGATTTAGTGTTCATTATGTTCGCTACAGACCAGGCAGCTGCCTTCTCACCGATGCTCGCGTCCTTCGCGAAGACACGTTTCCAAGCTTTGTTGGCAAGTATCCCGTCAGCCGCTCCTCTATGTTCAAGGTTTTCCCGATTCTTCGAGTATGCAATATCGTGTTCTTTGCAAGCTGCGTCGAGGGGATTGATACCCAAATCACCTCGTGCGAGTCTTTTCGCTAGTTTTGTACCGAGTCGACAGTATTGATAGCCAGGTATATGTAATTCAACTGGTAGACTGTCGATGATTTTGTTGACTAAGCCTTTACCACTATGGCGCTTCTTTTTTCCC